AAGCTGATTTGGAACTCGCTAATGGATTGGCAGGGTGAGAGAGGGAATCACTTATAGCTGTGTGCACCTGTCTTTCAAATGCTGGTCTGTGCTGGGGAGCTCAGGGCAGGCCGTAAGTGACTAGGACCTGTTCACTGGAGAACGTCCCTGGTGGCACTTGCCCAGCTGCCCTGATGAGCCCTGCTTCACTCATTTAACTGATCAGGGGGTCAGTAAAATGATCTATTTAACTTTGGTTTTCTGGGTGGGACCACTTTTTGTTTGTTCCAGGTTTGTTGTAGAGGTGTGCGTGCCCTACAGGGGCGCTCCACAGCCACACCTTTCACTCTGCTTACAGTAGGGGTTAATGCTGCAGCTCCATATACAGGGGCCAGAGCCTGCCCAGCCATCCTGTAGTCATCTCACGGACTATCCTGACAGTTGCCTTATAGCTACTTCTGCTTGCCAAACTGAGGGTCCTTGGCCAAAGATAATGGCTTCCAGATCTTCCAGGGCCTCTTATAGTGTCTGCTTACATTATGGTTCTCTCTACTTAGGTTTATTACTAATGTGCTCCCACTTCCTATCTTCCAGAAATTTATCAAACTTACTGGTCTGCTGTTGTCTTCAGTGCTGCTATGGTTATATTACTTTTCGTCATTTCGGTAGCAAGGAGGGTAGGCAAACGTGTGTGCTTACGTCTCCCGTCCTAAGCTAGTAATTGCTCCTTAGGAATGTGAAGGGAATATAGAATAAAAGTAATTTGGGATAGATAAGTTTTTTTAGATTCAGAGGTTAGAAAATGAATTGGCTAATATGTAACATGGTATTCTTTATCTAGGGCTGACATATGTCTGGCTTATTCTACTTTTCAGTTATGGTGATGGGATAAACATTGGATGGGGGTGTGTGTGTATGTTTTTATACTTTAAGTGCTGGGATACATGTGCAGAATGTACAGGTTTGTTACATAGGTATACACATGGCATGGTGATTTGCTGCACCCGTCGACCCATCATCTACATTAGGTATTTCTCCTAATGCTATCCCTCCCCCAGCCCCCCACCCCACACAGGCCCCAGTGTGTGATGTTCCCCTCCCTGTGTCCACGTGTTCTCATTGTTCAACTCCCACTTATGAATGAGAACATGCGGTGTTTGGTTTTCTGTTCCTGTGTTAGTTTCCAGCTTCATCCATGTCCCTGCGAAGAACATGAACTCATCCTTTTTTATGGCTGCATAGTATTCCATGGTGTATATGTGCTACATTTTCTTTATCCAGTCTATCATTGATGGACATTTGGGTTGGCTCCAAGTCTTTGCTATTGTGAACAGCGCTGCAATAAACATACCTGTGCATGTGTCTGTATACTAGAATGATTTATAATCCTTTGCGTATGTACCCAGTAATGAGATTGCAGGGTCAAATGGTAATTCTAGTTCTAGATCCTTGGTGAATCACCACACTGTCTTCTACAATGGTTGAACTAATTTACTCTCCCACCAACAGTGTAAAAGCATTCCTATTTCTCCACATCCTCTCCAGCATCTGTTGTTTCCTGACTTTTTAATGATCACCATTCTAACTGGTGTGAGATAGTATCTCATTGTGGTTCTGATTTGCATTTCTCTAATGACCAGTGATGATGAGTTTTCTTTCATATGTCTGTTGACTGCATAAATGTTTTCTTTTGAGAAGTGTCTGTTCATATCCTTTGCCCACTTCTTGATAGGGTTGTTTTCTTATAAATTCGTTTAAGTTCCCTATAGATTCTGGATGTTAGCCCTTTGTCAGATGGTTGCCTGTTCACTCTGATGATAGTTTCTTTTGCTGTGCAGAAGCTCTTTACTTTAATTAGATCCCATTTGTCAATTTTGGCTTTTGTTGCCATTGTTTTTGGTGTTTTAGTCATGAAGTCTTTGCCCATGCCTATGTCCTGAATGGTATTGCCTAGGTTTTCTTCTATGGTTTTTATGGTTTTAGGTCCTTGATTTAAGTCTTTAATCCACCTTGAGTTAATTTTTGTATAATGTGTAAGGAAGGGGTCTAGTTTCAGTTTCAGTTTTCCGCATATGGCTAGCCAGTTGTCCCAGCACCATTTATTAAATAGGGAGTCCTTTCCCCATTGCTTGTTTTTGTCTATTGGGTTTTTTTTTTTTTTTCTTCCTTAGATTGTCTCTTAGATTGTGGAGTCTGAGAAAGTATAATTTAAAATGGTCTGTCTAGGTATATCTGTGGGAAGTCTTACATTATCCATACTTAGGTTTCTAATTAGTTATCTGCAATTATGTGAATATAGGAAACAACCTATAATTTTACATTTTTGTCCTATATTGGGGAAATGTGTTCACCTTAAATTCTAACACAAATACGATACAAAAGACTGCTTTAGGGAGATACCCTGAACATGTAAGAATGAAAACATATTTTAAATGTAGAGTCCGCACAAGTCGCAAAATTGTGTATATACTGAAACATTTTCCTGTTGTATTCCTTCAAGGTCTGTTTCCTTACTAAGCTGTGTGTTGCGCTATGGGTGTTAATTGTAAAGTTAAACCTTACTACTATTTATGATGGTTTTGTTTTTATACTAAATTGGGAGAAGTTTTTTATGTCCCCGTGGGTTGGGCTGTAGGAACATTTAGTTTAATGATGCATTGATGCGAGAATTCACTTTAGGATAAAAGATGGAAGGGTCCCCTTTCCCAGTGCCACAGGGCCAAAGGTGGTGGCGGTTCGTTTTTCTATGCAGTGTGTAGCCTGTCAAAATTTGTTAGTCTTGTTGTAGGACTCTTTCCTTAGTTCAGCTAAAGACAGGGGGTCCATGTCACACAGCCACGAAAAATTCGGCTCACAGACAATTTGAAGAGGGCAAGATTTATTGGGTGAAAAGGAAACAGGGACTGTCTACAAGGCCAAAGTCCCAGCTAGTGTGCTTCCCACCTTGCAGATTGAATCCCAGGCTCCACCCAGGAAGAAGAGGGAGGGGCCAGGCTCCTCCCCACTGCAAATGGTGCGAACTTCCCAAGGCTCCACCCCAGTGCGCACTCCTCCCAGCGTGCACTCCTCCCAGTGCGCAGAGCAGATGGAGGTTTTCCGGGAACCCCTTTGCATTTGGCTGTCTCAGTCTTACCCCAATATCTTTCTCATTTTAATCTGCCCAAGGTGCCTTACATTCCCTCTGTGTTTATTTATTGCCAAGATGAGTGTTCAGATGTCTTTTCTCCTAGTGAAATGCATTTTCATAAAAACAAGAATTTGAACCCAGCAATCTATTATTGGAATTATCTATCCAGGGAGAATATTGAGAAAAATTTGAGTGGGGGCTTCCCTAGACCATCTCCAGATTTGGTGATCTGGTAAGAAGATACACAGGACTCAGCATATAGTTGTACTGAGGGCTTTCATTCCAGTGAAGAAGCAAAGTCAGCAAAGGGAAAAGGTGTAAGGGGGAAAATCTGGAGGAAACCAGGCAGAAGGTTCCAGGACTCCTCTCCCTGTGATGTCACAAAGGACAAGCTTAATTTTTCCAGCAATGAGAAATTCTACAATGTGTGAAATGTTGTCTACCAGGGAAGCTCGTTAGAGACACTGCACCCAGAATTTTTGTGGGGGACTAGTCACTAGACACCTTCTGCCTGGCCTGCACCAAAATCGCAGACTCCCAGAAGGAAAGATGTTTACATAAACTATATTTTTCATACAAACAGTTCAGCCATGAGTCATTCTTACCATGGAATGTTGGGAGCACTCCTGAAATCTGGCTTCCCAAACATCAGCAGTAAGCCAACCTTGTCAGCAGACTTTTCTAAGGATAGTAGTCTCAGGACTGCTGTGTTGACTCTTCTGCATGGTGTTAGATACCCAGGTGCCTTGTATTTTCTAAGTATTTAAAATACTGTGTATTAGCTGGGCGTGGTGGTGCATGCCTGTAGTCCCAGCTGCTTCATGAGCCTGAGGCAGGAGGATGGTTTGTGCCTGTGAGGTCGAAGTTGCAGTGAGCCAAAGTGAGAGAGACCCCGTGTCTTAAATTTTTTTTTTTTTTAAATACGGTGTAATAAAACAAAAGATGTAATGTGGATAGTCCCCAGACTGCCTGTACTGGGACTGTATGTGTTTTGTACGTTGATTGACACTTAGGTTTGTAATAGTGTTAGAGCCTGTGGGTTACTGAGTCATTCAGATTGTGGACAGCTCCTTCCGTTCCCTTTCTTTCTATAATTCTTTTTTTTCTAGCTTCCCATTGACCAAACACACCTCCTGATCCCTTTCTAAACATCTAATTCTTCTGCACTGTTGTCAATCCATAACTGACCAGGCAGATTTGCTTTATCACTGTCTTTGTTACACAGGGAAGAATCACTCCAGTCTTAATGGCGGTAGATTGCTCTGGATAAAGTGCTGACATTAACATATTTACCCAGAGGGTATGGAGAGATCATGTGGGAGGGTGGACAAGTAAACAGCAGTACATTTTGTTGAATGAGAATAATAAACTACCTAAACTCAGTTTTAATTATTATGCCTTTTAAACCTTTTTTTTTTTTTTTTTTGAGATGGAATCTCGCTTTGTCACCCAGGCTGGAGTGTAGTGGCGCGATGTCAGCCACTGCAACCTCCGCCTCCCGGGTTCAAGTGATTCTCCTGCCTCAGCCTCCCGAGTAGCTGGGACTACAGGCATGTGCCACCATGCCCGGCTAATTTTTGGTTTTGTTTTTTTTTTTTAAGTAAAGACGGGGTTTCACTATGTTGGCCAGGCTGGTTTTGAACTCTTGACTTCGTGATCCACCCCCTTCGACCTCCCAAAGTGATGAGATTACAGGCATGAGCCCCCGTGCCCGGCCTGTTTTAAATATTCTTGATCAAAGTTACTAACGGGGTATCACTTGAGGTTTTTGGCAATAATGACCAAAGAGTGAAGGGGTTGGGGGATGATGACTTTAGCATCAATTTTACAGGGTAAGAAAAGGCAACAAATTATAATTTGCCTTAACAATATTATCTTAAACATATTTTGACAGCGATTCAGGATTATGAAACTGCTCAGGAACACAATGAAAATGATCAGCAGATTCGAGAAGGTCTAGAGAAAGCACAAAGATTATTGAAACAGTCGCAGAAACGAGATTATTATAAAATCTTGGGAGTAAAAAGGTGAATTATTAATTTAAAATTTACTTTGCTATTTTTAATCAACTCTGTTTCAAAGCTAATCATTGCTCTTTTTCCTCTCTGATTCATTTTCTTTACTTATGTAATTTCAGTCATATGGATTAAACCCTAACAATCTTTACCATTAGAAAGCTACTTTGAGTATTTTATAGGCAAGTTTCTTTGATAGAGACCAATAATGCAGCCACAGAGAATTAGTAGTTGGCAACAAAGATGACACTGTAGCATGAATGGGTCCTAGGCCTGGATTTTTTAAGAAGGGTAAAGGGGTAGGAGTGAGCTTTCTTTTGGTGGGGATGGAGGAGGAGATGGAAAAAGGAAGAAAAAGCCTTCTCTAGGCCTAAAAATAAAGTAGTACTTTCAGAATTAAGTCTGAAATTAAGATCTACCTTATATAAAAGTACATACTAAGTAAATGATACACCCCTCAGTGGTTCGCTAAGTAAACCATCATCTTTCAAAATTTGGAATCTTTGTGCTTACTATTAAGTAAGCTAATGCAGAAGCATAATTGAAAGTGGCGGTCAGAGTCATATCTTTTTAATGCCAAGAATTGAATTTTGGTAACTTGCAAATTCAGAAAGTTAAAAAATTCATTGATGTACCTTTTTTAAAAAAGGGAAAATTCTAAAGATCAGGAGTGCTTTATTCTCAGTAATCTTAGTGAGTATCCAGGGAAGCCTGATGTCAGCTTTAATGATCATCCAGAACTGTATGCAGATCTGTGGTCTGTGATACCATTGGAACTATTTTATATTTAATAGTTTATTAATTACCAGTTTGTTAATTGCCAGTGGGATCTTAATCAGCTCTTCTGATTTTTATGATAGTATGTTAGACATTTCTCCACTAATTATTATTTTACCACCCCTCAGAAATGCCAAAAAGCAAGAAATCATTAAAGCATACCGAAAATTAGCACTGCAGTGGCACCCAGATAACTTCCAGAATGAAGAAGAAAAGAAAAAAGCTGAGAAAAAGTTCATTGACATAGCAGCTGCTAAAGAAGTCCTCTCTGATCCAGGTATTATTTGGTTTCATTCCTTTGACTCGTCCTAGAGGTGGTGTTAGAAGCGAGGGTGGAACGCGCGGTGGGTTCTGCATGTGGGGCTGTATAGGCAGTGCCGGGTCCTGAGCCCGGTTCCAGAGGTCCAGTTGTATGCCTGCCCTCCTCGTTCAGCCCTCTTATGCTCCTGTTGCAGGGTACAGTGGAAAGATCATCAAATGTGGAATCAGAGGGCCTGAGTTTGAATCTTTTTCCTACTCAAACAAGTTATCAGAACTTTTTGGTCTGTTTTTTCAGTACTGAGCATAAGAGGATCTCTCAGGTTCCCTCTAACCTCAAAGGTCAATGATGAATTTTCTCCACCAAGCTCACAGGAGCTTGATGAGGAAACCAGCTTGCCAGGCTGGATTGCACTGAGTGGGAGAACAGCAGATGTCTGGCCTAGGGCCTGCTATGCCCCATATCTGTTCACCAGGAATCTTGCCCTGAATCATATGATCATTAGATCAACAGGCTTATGTGTTTTTTAAAAATTTTTATTTTTTGTAGAAATGGGGTGTCGCTTTGTTGCCCAGGCTGGTCGTTAACTCCTGGGCTAAAGTGATCTTTCCAACTCAGCTTCCCAAAGTTCTGAGATTACAGGTGTGAGCCTCTGCACCTGGCCATGTGTGTTCTTTTGCTGTACACTAATATGGCCTGGAAATTTAATAAGAGGGAGACAGGCTAAGCATTGAGGTGATATTGGACAATGCTTTGCTGTTGCCAGAGAATTTCATGTTAAGCTGACACTGCTTTTTTGTGGCCTTCCATGTCAGTGGGAGCCAAAGCTGTGATCTGAGCTAGACAAATTAAACAAAGAGAGGAAAGTTTTATTTGTCAAATCTTTTTGGAGCACCTACTTATGCAGTGGAATTGAAGGTAAATGATGCTTTGTTTTCAAGTAATTTATAATCCAGTAAAGGAGAAATGTACTTCCCTTATCAAGTAGTATCGGATACATACTGTCCTATTACTCGGCAAATATTGAGTGGCTGCAACCTGCCTTGAGCAGTTCAATCCTCTTAGTTTGTGCAGTGCACAGAAGTGATAGTGTATCAGACTGGGAGTCAGGATCTTCTTATGGGAGGAGGACTGAGGGGGACTTTGGGCTAAGTTTTAAGGTAGTAGGGAGCCAACGGAGGGGATGAGTGTCCTTGCACAGAGGCATGCACTGAGGAAAGAGCTGCAGGTCTTTTTTCTTTCCTCTTGTTCTTATGTTCAGGATGAACTATCTTTTCTTTTAAAGACTTTAAAGTTTTTTACTATGCATATATCAAAACACATGTATCATGTATTTATGAATATGTTTAGTAGAATCACATGATTATGCCAATCTGAAACTTAATTTTCACTTGACATAAATCTTGGCTATAGTTTTTTTCTCACTGAAAAATAGTTACCTTATTCTTTGAAATGTATGCAGATCACTCCATTGAATTTTTAAGTAATTACATGATGTGGATATTGCTGAATTCACTTCTCTTTCCATTCACAGCATCCTTTCTCTGGGGCTATTATCACCCCCTATGCAGTTCACTACTGTTCTAAGTGCTAACACCCTAGATTAATTTTGCCTGTGAGATATCAAAGATATGGGGCCTGAGTCTAACTGCATTAGCTTTTGTAAAACAAAGCTGAGTTTCAGATCAACTACAATACCCAGTTAGTTATTCATACTCAGCATAAGAGCCCTCCATTTTTACTGGTGGGTTTCCTCCTCCTAAATGTGTGGTTTCAGATTAACCTCCCAGAATGAAGTAAACTGGCTTTTCTCTAAGTATCTTTGAACCGCTAAAGGACAAGTTACTGTGAGAGAGCAAAGTGGGACTTGGGATTATTTTTATATTTGCATTTTTTCTGCATTCTTTATTTTCCATTTATTAAAAAACCTAGCTATATGCTAAGTCTTTTTTTTTTGTAAGTTCAGGGGTACATGTGCAGGTTTGTTACATAGGTAAATGTGTGTTATGGGGGTTTGTTGTACAGATTATTTCATCACCCAGGTATTAAGTCTAGAACCCATTAGTTATTATTCCTGATCGTCTCCCGCCTCCCATCCTTCACCCTCCAATAGGCCCCAGTGTCTGTTGTTCCCCTTTATGGGTCCATGAGTTCTCATCATTTAGCTCCCACTTGTGAGAATATGTGGTATTTGGTTTTCTGTTCCTGCATTAGTTTGCTAAGAATAGTGGCCTCCAGCTCCATCCATGCCCCTGCAATGACATGATCTCATTTTTTATGGCTGCATAGTATTCCATGGTGTACATGTACCACATTTTCTTTATCCAGTCTATCACTGATGGGCATTTAGGTTGATTCCATGTCTTTTCTATTGTGAATAGAGCTGCAATAAACAGACACGTGCATGTGTCTTTATAATGGAACAATTTATATTCTTTTGGGTGTATACCCAGTAATGAGATAGCTGGGTTGAATGGTATTTCTGTCTTTAAGGAATTGCCACTGTCTTCCACAATTGCTGAATGAATTTACACTCCCACCAACAGTGTATAAGTGTTCCTTTTTCACCACAACCTTGGCAGCATCTTTTTAAAAACTTTTTAATAGCCATTTTTTTATTTGCAATAATGATCTAATTATTTGCTCTAAATCAGTGATGTTGAGCTTGTTTTCATATGATGGTTGGCCACATATATGTCTTCTTTTGAGAAGTGTCTGCTCATGTCCTTTGCTCCCTTTTTAATGGAGTTGTTTTCTTGTACATTTCAGTTCCTCCTAGACCTTTGTCAGTTGCATAGTTTGCAAAAATTTTCTTCCATTCTGTAGGTTGTCTGTTTATTCTGTTGATAGTTTCTTTTGCTGTGCAGAAGCTCTTTAGTTTAATTAGATCTCATTTGTCAATTTTTGCTTTTGTTGCAATTTCATGATGGAAACGCCAAAAGCAATCTTTGCCCATGCCTGTGTCCTGAATAGTATTTGCCTAGGTTGTCTTCCAGGGTTTTCTAATGGCTCTGAGGACAAGAGCGCTTTCTTTCTGTCCCTGCAATATTCCTCTCTATTGCCTTCTCCCATGTCTCTGCCTTGGTCTCTTTCTGCTCAGGGCTCAGAGGCCCCGCTGTGGGGGCACCATTCGCATGGGAGGGAAAGGTGAGTCTCCTGGAGTTGGATGTTATGGAGGCCCCTCTCCCCTCATGTCTGAGGAGCCTTAGTGCTGTTTGGATTAAACTGAGTCTCGAGAAAGCTCATTAGACACTTGTTGAGGTCATTGCCTTACAGACTTCATTTTGGGGATTAGGGTAGTGAGCTGCCTGTTTCAGTGGAAGTGTAGACCTTTGGAAGTTTCTTTTTCTTGAATTATTTTTTTCCAAATAATTTCACTGGGTAGTTACCAAGCTTGGGTAGCTGCTTCTGGAGTGAGATTTGGGGCCTGAACCTCATCCTCTTTGTGGTGAATTTCTCTAGTCTGTTTCTTCCGGGTGGGAATGGGAGAGCCTGGATTTGAATGTCAGGCACAACTCTCAGTAACTGAAAAGTAAGTAGCTCCTCAAGCCCATCCACCCTCCTTTGCCCAAAGAAAACATTCCCCCTGCCCCTATACCTTAGATATTATCTGGTTCTTAATTTTCTGATTTCTTTCTAGAAATGAGAAAGAAGTTCGATGACGGAGAAGATCCCTTGGATGCAGAGAGCCAGCAAGGAGGCGGCGGCAACCCTTTCCACAGAAGCTGGAACTCATGGCAAGGCTTCAATCCCTTCAGCTCAGGCGGACCGTTTCGATTTAAATTCCACTTCAATTAAACCAACTGTTTTTCTGCTCTTCTTCCTTAATTTTTTTAAAGATTAAAAACAAAGAAATCTTCCTCTGGGACCCTAATGAAAAAAAAATTCAAATCTTTGTTTGTCCATGACCAAAGAGTTGCTTTAATAGGAAAAAAATCTGTTCTTATCCCTGTTAGATTTATGGTTAATGGGTTTGCAACGGCAGGGAGGCAAGGAATGGTTCTGTTTCTGACAGAGCAGCCTGCATCTGTTTTATGCTGTGTGGAGGAAGTGGTCTGAGGCAGGCTCACCTGTGGACGTGCTCACGTATTCTGTATTTTTCTACACTGGAGCTGAGATTCTTCTCTTCACAGCCTTGCAGAGTAAGTCTGTGCCTACAAATGTAAGAAGGAGCTGTAATCTTCATGAGAATGGTTAGTATTCTTAAAGAGAACATGAACGTTTTTGAGCTGTGCTTCGATGTGGTCTAGTCACTTGTGAGTAGCGTGAAAGCTTTAGTGTGCATGTGTTTACACCTCTGTGGTCTGTCAACATGGCTGTCACTGAAGGAGCAAGAGACCATCTTTTAGGAACCCTGGCACCAAATGGTAATATATCCAGGCTTAGACTTTGGATTAATGTTAAATGTACATTTTTTTTTTTTTGGTTCAGTACCTGAAGAATACTGAAACTTGAATCTATACATTCCTATGGACCCTTTTAATATTAAACACAACAAATTAAAAGTTATGGGTCAAATAGGTTCAGATAAAATAGTGGTGGTATTTAAAATAATATTGCTGAAGTGCAGATTGAAATACTTTTTAAACAACTGAAGTTCTGAGTTTTTATAGAGAATTTCATGTAACAAGACTGGCTTAGAAACATAAAGTTGCACAGTCAACATAAATAAATACAGAATGCCATGGTTCCCACTTTTAAGTAAAGACAGTTGGCAGCTTCTCCTTCTCTCATACCAAGGCTTGACCTTATCTTAAAGGTCTCTGGTCCTCCCACATGGGACTTGTCTGCTGGTATGTGTTACACAGTAGGCCTGCCCTTCTACCAGATCTTGATGCCTCTGATGTTCTCCTGCCTACAAGAAAATACAGGCTTGCAAGTGTAGTCAGGTCTGGCTGTATTTCCACTGTTGTTTCATTTAATAAGATGACATCTCCTCTTGAGATACGTTCTTCTTACCTTTTAAGAAGATACTGTTTAAGAAGTGAACTATTCAGTCTTTGTATACTGAATGCTTTTTCCCTAAAAAATGTTACTTTAATCAAGAATATTGAATATTTATGGAACTCTTGATGCTGCATTTGAAAGCTGAGGGAATTACTTTAGATAGGAATTGCTACCTTTGTTCTGGAAAGGTTTTGTTTCTGCCTCAAAGCATTTTGAAGTGTTTTAACCATTAAAGGGTCTAATTTTTTTAATGAAATTAAGCATTTTAATTCATTGTGGGAGGCATCCTGACCACAGACATCCATAACAGCAAAGCACAAACCGTTTTCATCCGTAGTCTTATCCTGAAACATACGTGGACAAACTTTTAACTGGGAGACAAAAACCACATAGTTGAATTGAGCAAAACATTTAAGTGCTTTCTGCATCTATTTAGGAGTCTATTTCTTACCAATAAACTTGACAGTGCATTTGGAAAACTAGTGAACACCCTGCAGCTTTCATTTTGCTTCAATGTTTCGATTCAAGCCAGTGTAAAAATAATTTCCAAGGCATTTCTGTCTATTATTTAGTAATCTCACTACTGGCTATGTCAGCAATATCTTTTTCAATCTCTTTCCTTTTGTATATGTCACTGACCTCTTTGAAATATAGTGATGGCTTTTACCTACTTTGAAAAGAATTTTCATATAGAATCAGAAAAAAAGGAAATATCAAATCACGTGCCCTCCACTTGGAGAGCACGACAGTTGCCAACAACAAGGGGTCAAGGTCCCGGGCCTGGCCACCTCCCACCCGCTGCCCAGAGGCTTGTTTGCATTTTCATTTTTTCTCCGCCTGTAACAACCATAGTTTCAATTCCTAAATTCTTATCATGGATTTAGGTTAGTCATCTTAACTGATGTGCAGAGTTACTTGCCTGTTTTCAGTGAAGAGAGAGAAGCAGCTCTGGTGCCACATGCCAGTGCCATGGAGGGAAATGAATTCTCTGCAATCTGTTGTTTTGCTGATTCATGAAGAAAGTAACAACTGTTGAGTTTCAGCCTTGATGGCCATTGGCAATTTTCTGGTGTCCACCCAAATGGAAAGACAGTCATTCCCTGCTTCCCCTAAACTGTGACTGAGCAGCAGCCTGGATGTTAAAGAGATAGTCACTCCCCTTGCCTGACTGTAGGGTATCATTAGCCATTGTAAAACCGTACTACTTTCATTTTCCCTTGGGGACTGCAGGTGCCAGGTAAACTTTTTTTTTTTTTTGAGACGAGAGTCTTGCTCTGTTGCCCAGGCTGGAGTGCAGGGACGCCTCCCGGGTTCAAGTGATTCTCCTGCCTCAGCCTCCAAGTAGCTGGGACTACAGGCGTGTACCACCATGCCTAATTTTTGTATTTTTAGTAGAAACGGGGTTTCACTGTGTTAGCCAGGATGGTCTTGATCTCCTGACCTCGTGATCTGCCCACCTTGGCCTCCCAGAGTGGTGGGATTACAGGCATGAGCCACCGCGCCCGGCCATCAGGCAACCTTTATGGCTGTTTCAGGAAAAGTGAAATCAGAGAGGGGTACCCTAGCCATAGCTCTGTTATATTCTGCTCTTCTTTCCTTTTTGGTGAGCTCCATGGGTGGAGTTATCAGGGGTCTGTACTTTGTGGATATTTTGCCCAGCAGGAAGTATTAGACATACCAGTCTAGAAGCGCTGTGAAAAGTTTCCAAAACGGGAGACAAAATTTAACCCATTCCTCAGTTCTGAAAGTTTGTGCTGTCTTACCATGAATAGATGAAAACTTGAAAAAAATCTCGACAGCTTACTAATGTGAATCGGATGTAACATACTACTAATTCTACAATGTCTTTAGTCAGTATTAAAAATCTTTTTTAAAGTATTGGTATGAAAACAAATTTTTGTTGCCCTGATGATGGAATTTTAAAACTACCCATGGTTTAGGAGAAAACATAACTGTAAAAAAGGTAGCCAATAAAACCACAATTTGAAATTGATACCATTTTCTACTCACCATGGATGATGAAAAATTTCACCTTTAAATGGATCAGAAGTTGTCTTTGACATTTACCATGAAAAAACTACATAAAATGGCTCCCTGGTGAGGTTACAGACACAGGGCCCTGGTGATGGGCGTTGCAAAGTTTTCATCGAGCACATGGCAATGGTATAACCTAGAGAAGTTCATGCAACTTTGTTGAATGTAGTTGACTTCCAAATTTATAAAGGAAGAAGGCAAATGTTAATTTGCCAACAACTAATATCCTTTTTCTAAATCAGATCATTCCTTTTTTGTTAGTGGCAGTTTATCCTGTAATTTCAAATGACGTTAAGAGGTGGGATTATTTGGGGCTTTTTCTTTTTGTTTACAGAGGATCTCATTTGCTGAATGATTTAAGAGTAAAATTAGCCACTGCGTGGCTTTGTGTATAGTAACCGGTTTTGTTGCACTTGTCTGTGGCTGAAACACTTACCTGCAGTGGAAAGCCGAGCAAGGAGGAGGTAAACATTGGAGATGTTTGTGAAACTATTACTCTTACCATGAGGTTTTAGTTTGTTTTGAATGAGAAAAGACTAAGTAACTTAATCCATCTCAATGTAGTGTTTTAATAAATAAAAAAGGAACCTAATATTTGAAATGGGTCTCAGACATGTCTACAAATATGGGTACTATTTTTATGCCCTTGTATTTTCACATTTAATAAAAATATTTATGGTCATATCAGTATTTCCATGCTTTTGATTCATTTTTGTTCTTGAATACAAAATTCTAAGAAAGTCCACCTTAAGAAAAGTATTCCCAACTTTGCTTCATGCAAAATCAGTGACTGAGGTGACAAAAGGGCTCTTCCTTTATACAAGCTGACAGGGAAGGTCAGAACACACAAAGCAGAAAGGGTTAAAACCTCAGTCCTAGGACAACTGAGGACTTAAAAAGTGGACAATTCTTCCATTTCAGTACTATTAAAATGTAACTTAAATTGGCTTTGTCTGAACATTTTCTCTTTCATACCCCATTTGTACGTTTCTGTTAAGGTCCTAAGTTGGGAGGGAGGACACTATAGCTTATCTCAAATTTCCAGCTACAAACAGAAGGAACTGTCTTCTCAGTTAATGTATTCTGCATAGCTTAAGATGCAAGGAGAGCTACAATGTGTAAATGTATATAGAACTTTTCCAGAAAGCTCAAAACTTTTTTTTTTTTTTTTGAGACGGAGTCTCGCTCTGTTGCCCAGGCTGGAGTGCAGTGGCATGATCTCGGCTCAATGCAAGCTCCGCCTCCCGGGTTCAAACAATTCTCTGCCACAGCCTCCCGAGTAGCTGGGATTATAGGCGCCCACTACCATGCCTGGCTAATTTTTTTGTATTTTTAGTAGAGACGGGGTATCACCATCTTGGCCAGGCTGGTCTTGGATTCCTGACCTCGTGATCCACCTGCCTCGACCTCCCAAAGTGCTGGGATTACAGGCGTGAACCACTGCGCCTGGCCAAAGCTTCCAAATTCTTAATCCTCATGACATTGTGGCAATATATGAACAGCCAGTCTGAGTCTGAAGATAAACAGCATGAACAGGTGTAGCAGGCATGAGAGCTGCAGGGAAACTGCAAGAAGAGAGATCCAGAGCCTCAGGAGCTCTCACTGAGCAGGCACCAAGCCCGCTCCCTCCCTACCTCCAGGCCCAAATCAGTGCTTCATGATCTTTAAGAAAAAAAAAAAATTCATTTTAATCTTAATGCCAGCTTACAGTTCACACCTCAGAGACCCTGAACTCAGCAAATCCTTTTATGCTGAGCAAATGCTTTGGGAATGCTTCGATGATAAACAAGAGCTTAATATGCATATTAATTTATTGCTTTATACTAGGATTCTGTTTCTAACGAAGCATACAGGAGACAACTCAGCTTGCATGTCTATTTTGAACACATTTCCAACCTTCACTCAGGTCTGTTTTTCCTGATCAACTGAGTCTACTGGGATAAGCATCACTCGGACAGATAACTCCCAGGGACTGGGCTGCCGTGGCTGGGAAGGGCCACTGGGAACATTAGTGCCAAGGTCTGAGGAAACCAGAATTGAACATATTTAAAAAGCATAAGGGAGTAACCACTGCTTGCAGCATTTGTGAGTGGATTTCAACTGCTCTAAGTCTTCTTGTTATTTATATACTTCCTTGTTATTACAGGAGATTTGTATAGGTATATCTTTGAGTATGGTGTTCCATTTGTAGGTACGGTTAAAAAGGATTTTTCCTTCTTACAGGTTTCCCTAACTACATGTAGTTTTGCTCCTAAGTATGAAGATGCTTTATCTCTAAAGTATCTTTTAAAAGGATAATTCTTTAGAGATAAAGCATCTTCATACTTAGGAGCAAAATTACATCTAGTTAGGGAAACCAGTATAAGAAGGAAAAATCCTCTCTAAAATATCTGTTAAAAGGATAAATCTTGGGCTGGGCATGTGATCCCAGAACTTTGGGAGGCCAAGGTGGGCGGATCACCTGAGGTCAGGAGTTCAAGACCAGCCTGGCCAACATGATGAAACCCCGTCTCTACTAAAAATACAAAAAATTAGCCGGACGTAGTGGGGGGCGCCTGTAGTCTCAGCTACTTCAGAGGCTGAGGCAGGAGAATTGCTTGAACCTGGGAGGCGGAGGTTGCAGTGAGCTAAGATTGTGCCACTACACTCCAGCCTGGGCGACAGTGAGATTCCATCTCAAAAGGGATAATTCTTTTAGCAAATTATGTACATTTCACTGTGTCAAATTTTCTTAGGATTTTAAATACCCTGTCACTTCATATATACCACCCGTTGCACTATTTTGTTTCCTGCAATGTTTGTGGCTTTGTTATCTCAAGTTAAAGTGGAAAGGGTTCATTCTACAGTTGTTTGTGCAAACAAAATAGCATCTATTCCTCCTACTGAATGCAAACATTAAGCAATTGTGGAATAAGGGAGGGCTCTCCCTGTAGGACAGGGCCTCAGATCAGAGGAAATTCATTATGGACATCGTACAATGAAAAAAAGCAGCATTAGCAAATCTAGAGCTTCTGTCCAAAAAGTTGCTACTGCTGTTAAGTATTAGGAAGCAATGCAGGCATAAAAATATTCACTGAGCAGTTTACGATTTATATGAATGGATGTTAGCCCTTCACTGCGCTTGAAGATCCAATCACAAAATCTCTCCACATGGTTCATAAACTCACTTGCCTTGTCATCCAGGCTCCAACCTCATGGGCCTTCTTTCAGTCCTCAAATGAACAAAACTCCTTCCATACTATTCTTTCTTGCCTGGCTAGCACTAACTCTTACTTCAGGTTTCATCCTAAAATGTTACTTGTTAGGTCTGTCTTGACCCTTGCCCTTCACAACATTTTCATTTGGATATTAATGTCTGTCATTTATACTGTCTAATAACCTAAAGAGGATAGCTTGGCACACAGTAGGTACTTAAATTATTTGTTAAATTGTTGAAATATTTGTTCAATCTGTTCAGGGCAGAGAGACCTACTATATTACTGGCCTTATTTAGATGAAACTTTTTAGAAATCGTTTTCTGGTGGAAGCAGACGTGGGGAAACAGAGGAAAAGCTACCAGCAGTGTAAGGAAGACAAACACAGCAGAGGTCTGTGACAGGACATTTGTATGGAAAGCAGTTTCAATCTGATGCTCTAGACTAGACACTCTACTACAGGATTAGTTCTATTTATTTCAACGTTCATCTTACCCAATAAAGGTATTACCATAATTATTCCTCCTCTCCTTTTCCTGAAAATTTTAAATTAAACATAAGGTTGATCTGGAACCCTTGTCATTCAAATAATGTCTTGCTTTGAAGCCCATCTTTAAAATCTGAGTAATTTTTCTTCAATTCTAATAAAAACCTTTCGTTTTTAAAGTAAAATCACATCAGGTAGGATGCAAACTTTACATAGTTGAGCAGATCTACATGACTGAAGTAAACTTCTTCACTTCAAGTAATTAGGAACCGTAGAAGACAAGATTATTTTCCAAATCAGAGATCTTTAAAACAGAGGTGTTACTAGTTCTAAGTCTAGAGGCTTTCCCTTAGAATTTCTCAGAAAATAGAAGTTTGTATTTGGTAAATGGGGTTAACAAACAGAAAATGGGGAACAGCTGTCACATTACCATAACACTTGAAGACTTCTAAAAAAGAGTAGTTCTAGGATGGGCTTACACACCTGACCAAGCCCCTCTAACTTACAAAGTTACCTGTAATTTTGGCCATCAAAGCCCTGGACCATCATGTTTCCTCTTTCTCACTTTGCCACCAAAGGTGAGATTTTAACCAATCAACTGGTTCTTTGGAAGTGAGTGGAGCCCCTTCAGTCTATGAAGTCAAGTAACAGAAGTGGGCAAGACAATGGCTGGGTCATAACTTTTGCTTGTTGGTTTGAGCGTGGGCCCATCAGCACCTTTTACTTCTTCTCTGAAACGATGGATCTGAGACACATGATCCACGTGTTCATCTGACTCGCCCTGTACCTCCTGCCCTGAAAGTATTCTGTTGGGTCCCTGGAACCTCTTCTGGGCAGCGGCAGTTTGTTGTCTGGTTGCTTCTCAGGTGCTGGAGTCAGGACCTGGCACACAGCAACAAGCAGTTCTGCGGGCAGGTCCCACTTGTGTCAGACTACATGTTTAATATTAAAAGCCTGATTTTATAACACCAGGCTGACATGGCTTGAGATGCCTTTAGAAGTATTTGATGCTATCCTTCTAGGAGCTATGTTGTTCTCTAGGAGCTTGAGGGTGACTGGAGCCAAATGACAGGCACTTCCAAAATAAAACCTTTTGGACCTAAGCATTGGAGGTGGCATGCCGACTTTGGGCTGTCTTCATGCTCAGATTCTGGGTCTACTTTCTACGTAAAGCTCACACGCCACTGTGGGTCAAGCACAAATGCTTCTCATTCTGAGCTTAGATACAGTGTTCTGACACTTTTTTCTAAGAAGACAGAAAGAGAAGACATTTATCACTTCTCATAGTTAGAAACTAGTTCCCCTCCATCCCGCTGACCTCCACTACTTCCACGATTTGATTTTTGTTAAAACTTGACATAGGGCCTGCAGCCGAGAACCAGAATTTAGGATCCTGAATATACCATGAAAGCCGTTGGACTATATTTGTTCAGCATTTCCAGGATAAGGGAACTGAATGGCTTTCTCTCCAAGTGTTACCAGATACTCAAGGCAAGACCTATGGTTCAGTTATGTAATGTCCCTGAGGAGGGTGCATTTTTGTATGGCACAGCAGTTGGTATGCATGAGAGCTCTTGACATAACAGCACTTTTAAAACAAGCCATTTAATTAAAACATTTCACTGTAAAGAAATACCTTATTTATAAATCTGGATTTTCTGGTATAACATATCACTCACCTGGAAATGAAACATGTAAATAGGTGTAAATTGTCCACTCAGATCATAAGATACAAACAGCGAGGGGGGCATCAAGACTTTTTACACTGTTCTGTAATTTTAGCTTCATACTCCATGAAAATATGGGATCTAGAATACTGGAGAAGGCCATCGTAGGTAATAAAAGTAGGAATCCGGTGGCTCTGCCCAGCTGATCATCCTTTCTATAAGATTCTCACAGAAGTGAAGACAGGCTGGTAACAAAGGAAAACAAAGCACCATCTTATAGTCGGGGTTTGCACCCCGGCCACCGCAGCAGACTTCTGGGTAGCTGGGTGGAGCATCTGGCCTAGAACCTTACAGAGTCTCACCTCTCACCAATCCCCAGCTACAGCTGACTCCCAAGAGGAGTGAGCCAGAGAGCACCATTACGTTGGCCGCCCCAGGACCACTTACTGCTCCAGCCTCTGAGTGTACCCTATAGGATACTCCGAACTCACAGGAATAACCTAGTTCCACCAGAGCAGGCCATAAATGGTGCACTCCATTTTAACACAGACAAACACGAACAAGTAACAAAGGGAGATGACTGCGAGAGGGCGAGGCAGGTGCTCTCTTATTAGGAATGAATGGAGCTGATGTTTAACTCTATGGGCTGTTCTGTCAAATACAGAAGGATTAGCCTTGTTCTGAAGAGCTCACAGGAGTGAGCTTCTGGCTCATGATGGAACTGTGTGTACAGAGCTGTCCAAAGACGGACCAGCCCGTCTCTAGAGGTAGAGAGTTCCCTGTGGTCCCAGAACTTCCAAGATGGCCTGAGGCTCGGCTTTACAGGCAGGGCCTTAGAATAGGGGCTGGCACACTAGCTGGGGGCCCAATTCTGTTAAATGCTTCTCAAACTTGTCTAATTACAGAACCATCTGGAGAGCTTTTTAAACAATCATGATTTACCAAGCTGACTTTAGACCTAATGAATCAGACTCTCCACAGGATGAGGTCCAAATGGTACTGAGTTCTCTTCCAGTCCCATGATCCTATGATTTTAGAATAGTTGGATAGTTTTTAAACATTTCCTATTATTAATCTATTATTAATACACATCAGAAAAACAAACTGTTTACATCCTCAACTAGTTCTCATAAAAGTACCTAGTCCTTTAAAAAAGAGAATACACATATATCCCACATGCCCATAAATAATTTTTATGACAAAATTAGAAACATTAGAACATCCAAATACCGCATTAAGATTAAAACATTGTTTAAGATAAATGATTACCACGCAACAATATTACTTCCATTTTAAAACACCAGTTAAGGTACAAATGGGCTTTATTATTATTATTGTCTCAGAAGGAAAAAATACAAAAAAATAGGTTTCTGTAATTTTAAATGCATTTCTGTAATTTTATTATTTATATTATTTTTTGAGACAGTCTTACTCTGTCGCCCAGGCTTGAGTGCAACAGCGCAATATCGGCTCACTGAAACCCCCGCCTCCCGGATTCAAACAATTCTCCTGCCTCATCCTCCCAAGTAGCTGGGATTACAGGTGCCCACCACCACACCCAGCTAATTTTTTGTATTTTTCGTAGAGACGGGGTTCTGCCGTGTTGGTCAGGCTGGTCTTGAACTCCTGAACTCAGGTGATCCACCTGTCTTGGCCTCCTAAAGTGCTGGGATTACAGGTGTGAGCCACTGCACCAGCCTAAATGCATTTCTGTAACTTTAAATGCATTTTGTGAATAAGGAAATGTGGATGCACATAAAACTAGATATAAAAGGCTATACTTTGATAAACACCAGCTAGTCCAGTACCTGGGCTATCTGGCAAAACATCAAACTTTGGTGATCAGGAAAAAGGAACAATCAGGTTTTAAATACTCAATGGTCGTTTATTATATAACTTAAACTTATTCAATACATTAAATACCTGTTTTAAATAATTACAAATTTTTAAAATTAAAGAATATGTCACTGATCTTCATGAGACTTCCAAATCGTCTCAGCAGGGGCTCCACACTTCCCCAGCAGGCGTCAGGTTTCCTGTCATGCTTTCGCCTTCCTTCTCATATAAACCAGTGCTAGAGTTCATCATGTGTCAAAACTGTAGGGAAGAAAAGTTTATTTAGCTCCTGGCATCTTAAACATAAAATTATCTTAAATATTAACTTACGTATGATGAGGAAGCACCGGTATTGACTGAGGATCCCTTATTTGCTAGTTCAGTACCTATATGCTTCATTATGCAACACGAGAATAGCTCTTTGTACACTGTGATGTCTATTAAATTGTCTCATAACTACCGGTCTTTCTACCCACCTAGAATGTGAGCTCCCATGAGTCTATGAGGACAAGGAACATACCTTACTTATCTTTGTTATCTTTAGGATCTAGCATCCTGCCTGGCAGATAAGAGGTCTTCAAGTATACTAACAGATTATTCACTGTGAATATAGTATTCTACCCTTAATGTAATGGAACAACAGAAAGCAGAGGACATATTAATATATGGTCGTCATCTAAGATGGGAGGACACTGCACTCGGACACAGACGTAAGTACTACATAAATGCAAGCACAATTCGGATGAAGACTCTTAGAGAGCAAAATGGTCTCTTCTGCATCACTGAGCTGTCACATACCAACTGACGTAAATCACTGAGAACTCAAGATTTTCAGGCAGAAATTAATTAAAATATAATTTAAATGCATGCTGTTCCACAGTTCAAGATGTCAGACTATGTTTCTTCACTAAATTCTACTGGAAAGATAATAAATATAAAAAGGAAAAACAATGAGAATGAGGGAAGCGGTTACAAGACACTGTTGGGGCAAAGATATCAATGAATTTCAAGAAATGGGAAACGGGGATAGACTGCATGAAACAACTTCATCCCAGAATACACAGCTGAAACGATGACTTGGCTTTCCTGATGGAGGAGTCTGGGAGAGGTTACTAACAAACACCAGTGGATAGTGAGTCACACAGTGAAGCAATTCAGTGAAGGACTGTGTGGAAAATCTGTGCCTGTCAGCTCCCCACTCTCATTCTTCTGAATCTAAGACAGAAACTAACACCCTGGCATCTATTCTAAGATAAAAAGTGGAAGTCTGTTCTTGAGAAAGAAAATTGAACAATTCTCAGAGAGAGACAAAGAGGGAGAAATAAAGGGTGGGAGAGAGGGGGAAACAGGATTTTTTTTTTTTTTTTTTAGAGATGGAGTTTCACTCGTTGCCCAGACTGGAGTATAATGGCTTGATCTCGGCTCACTGCAACCTCCGCCTCCTGGGTTCAAGCAATTCTCCTGCCTCAGCCTCCCGAGTAGCTGGGATTACAGGCATGCGCCACCACGCCCGGCTAATTTTGTATGTTTAGTAGAGACGGGGTTTCTCCATGTTGGTCAGGCTGGTCTCGAACTCCTGACCTCAGATGATCCATCGCCTTGGCCCCCCAAAGTGCTGGGATTACAGACATGAGCCACTGTGTCCAGCCGTAAAGAGGTATTTTTATATGGGTGTCTGCTCTTAAGTAAAGCGCCCTCATTTGGGTTTTTGGGGTGGTGTATAGGATGGGCTTTGATCTGTTCCATGACCATACACCTAGAAGGAGGCCTGCCAGTTGTACACCATGGGTTAGTAATTAACCCTCCCATCTGGGGAAGCCTATCAGAGAAAGAAGCACATTTAAACCCTGGCAAAGGAAACCCACACCAGTTATTATATTGATCAATCTAATATTTCATTCTTAAATATACATGAACAGCCAAAGATCTCCAGGTTTCTGAGGAAGAAAAAAGGGCCAAGATGAATACATAAAACAACATAAACAAAAAGGACCTGAAAAGAACCAAAGCAATATTCAAAACAGTTCTAATTGGTATTTCAGGGGATATTAGAAAAAGTGAAACCATAAAACAAGAACAAAATGAAATTAAAAAGAAGTAAGCAGGGAAAAGAAAGATCTGTTAGAAATTAAGAAGTGATTACCCCTCTAAAATAAATGAATAGAAAGATTGAAGATAATGCCAAAGAATTTTCTCAGAATACAAATGAAAGGAAAAAATATACAAGAGAAAATGTAAGTACAAAAGATCTATAGGACTAAGAAGACAGTTCTATTTACAGTAGCATCAAAAGGATCAAAATAATTAGGAATAAACCTAGGAGGTGGAACGTGTTTACTGAAAATAACAAAAAATGCTGAGATGAATGCAAGACGACATAAATAAATGGAAAGACATTCCATGTTCATGAACTGGAAGTTTAATATTAAGATGTATATACTACCCAAAGCAATCTACAGACTCAGATTCAACATAATCCCTATAAAAACTCCAATGATGCTTTTTATAGAAACAGGAAAAGTCATCCTGAAATTCATACAGAATCACAAGGGATGATGAAAATAATTCTGAAAAAGAAGAATGAAGTTGGCAGATTCACATTGCCTGATTTTATAAAATATTACAAAGCTTCAGTAATGAAAACAGTATGGTGCTGGCATAAAGACAAACAGCCCAATGGAATAGAGAGTCCAGAAATAAACTCTTGTGTATGTGATCAATTCATCTTTGATAAGAAAACCAAGAATACTCAGTGGGAAAATAAGTCTCCTTCAAAAATGGAGTTGGGCAAACTGGATATCCATACACAAAAGAATAAAGCTGGATTCCTATCTTACATGACATATGAAAATTAACTCAAAATCAATTAAAAACCTAAATATAAGACCTGAAATTATAAAACTCCTGAGGAAGACATAGGGAAAAATCTTCATGACACTGACATAGCAATGACTTCTTACATATGACACCAAAAATATAATAAAAGCAAAAATAGATAGATGGGATTATATTAAACCTAAAAACCTTTGTGCATCAAATGACACAATGAACAGAGTGGAAAGGCAACCTAGCAAATCAAAGAAAATATATGCAAATAATGTATCTGATAAGCGATTAATATCCACAATATGTAAAGAAACTCTGCAACTCAAAAACAAAAAATAACTTGATTAAAAAATGGGCAAAGAACTTGAATTTACATTTCTTCAAAGATGATATACAAATAGCAAACATAAGAAAAGATGCTCAGTATCACTAATCATCACAGAAACGCATAACTACAATGAAATTATTACTTTAGACCCATTAGTATGACTGCTATATTAAAAAAAAAAAAAACAGAAAATAAGAAGTGAGGATATGGAGAAATTGGAACTCTTTTGCACTGCTGATGGGATTGTAAAATAATGCAACTGCTATGAAAAATAGAGGTTCCTTAAAAATTCATATGATTTGGCAATCCTATTTCTGGATATATATATCCAAAATAATGGAAAGCGGGGTATCAAAGAGATATACACACACATGTCCACAGCTGCATCATTCACAGTAGCCAAAAGGTGAAAGCAAACCAAATGTCCATCGATGGATGAATGGGTAAACAAAATGTGGTAATATATATATACTATGGAATTTTATTCAGTCTCTTAAAAGGGAAGGAAATCCTGTCATATGTTACAACATGAATAAATCTTGACAATATTATGCTGAGTGAAATCAGTCAGTCACAAAAAAATAAATACTATATTATCCCACTTACATAAAGTATCTAGAGTAATCAAATTCATAGAGAGTAGAATGATGTTTGCCAGGGGCTAGGGAGAGAGGGGGAAGGGGAACTGTTAATTGAGTATAAAGTTTCAGATTTGCAACACGAAAAAGTTCTGGAGATCTATTCCAAAACAATGTGAATATACTTAACATTACTGAACTTAAAAATCGTTAAGATAGTAATTCTTGTTACTTTTTTTTTTTTTTTTTTTTTAACCACAATTAAAAGTACATAAAAATTGTATAGGATTGAACCAAGAGGTATAAAAATCCAACTAGTTAGAATCCTGGACAGAGAGAATAGAGGTAAGGGGGAAAGAGGTACATTATTTAAAACAAAAACAAACAAACAAAAACACAGTAAAAAAAAAGTCCAAATTTGAAGAAAGGCATGAGTCATTAAACACACAAGCAAATTTACGGGATGCAACAAAAATGTGATCAGGGAAACTTATAGCTGTAAACACTAACATTGAAAAAGAAAAAAGATCTCAATTCAGCAACTCGACTTTGTAGCTTAAGGAACTGTAGCTGGTCAGGCAGGAATATGGGTAGCCTGGGTATCATATTTACAGTTGCTATCTGAAATGGGGCAGTCTTGCAGCCTGGGCCCTTAAGCTGCAGGGTGTGAAGGTTAACTCCAGGAGTTAATGTCAGAGTTGAAATGAATTACTGGAGATCCAGCTGGTGTCCAGCAAATTGGAGAATTGGTGTTAGCAAAACATTATATATATGTTGTTAGGAAGAAAAAACATCAGATGACAGCACTGCTCAAAGTGATCTACATATTTGACACAATCCCTATCAAAACCCCAATGACACTTTTTGCAGAAATAGAAAAACCTAAAATTCATATAAAATCTTGAAGGACCTTAATAGCCAAAACAATTTTGAAAAGAAAAGAATTGGACTCACTGATTTAAAAACTTACTACAAAGCTACAGTAATTAAAACAGTATGGTACTGGAATAAAAAGAGACATATAGACTAAAGGAATCGAGAACCCAGAAATAAATCCTTGCATATATGATCAAATGATTCTGACAAGGGTGTTCAGACCATTCAATGGGGAAATGACAGTCTCTCTAACAAATTGTGCTGGGACAACTAGATAGCCACATGCCAAAGAATGAAGTTGGACTCCTACTTCATACCATATTTAAAAATTAACTAAAGATAGATTTAAAAATCTAAGTGTAAGACCTAAAGCTCTTAGAAGAAAACATATATGGAAATCTTTGTGAATTGGATTGGGTAATACAGTTGACCCTTGAATAACACAGAAGTTAGGAACGGACACTAAACCCTTGCACAGCTGAAAATCCACATATAACTTTTGACTCTTTAAAAACTTTACTAATAGCCTACTGTTGACTGGAAGCCTTAGAGATAACATAAACAGCTAACACAGTTAACATATTTTGTATATGTATTTTATACTGTATTCTTACAACAAAGGAAGCTAGAGAAAATGTTAAGAAAATCATAAG